CAATTGCATATATCGTTTGTATTATAAAACATTTACGATAATGTATTCCAAGAATTGTTATTTTGTTAAAAATTGTTAATTGTATTGAATATCCGTATTTACTATATTATGGTAAATATTTGTTACAATTTACATAACTTAATATTTGACAATTGCAAGAATAATATATAATTTGTCTTTTTTAAAAATATAATATTACTAATATCGCTGTAATTTAAAAACTAATTTTACTACGAAAGTGATATATTGAATATTATATCACCATGCTGATTAGTCATTAATGACAGTTTCGTTATCTAATAGCTTTACGTTATCATTTTAATATTGAAACATATTTGTTGCTAAAGGGTTGAGTGTACCAAAGAGTACTAAATTTTAAATATATCACAAAATTATCTTTATAAATTATAATATATTTTGAACATTAAAATTATACTGTAATATTCAAACATTTTAGCCATGTATTTAAATATATTCTAACTATTTATTTTACTGTCCTCAAAAGTTAGTCACTGATTTTGCTGACAAATTGAATAGCAAATGATAAATACAACTTATTATGTCTGCAAACAAAAGTTTGACTAACAGTAATAGACATTAGTTTTGATAAATGATTCAACAATTACTTGCAATATTCTTATACATTATTTGCATCTTTTGATTAAATAGTAAATTTCTTAGACATCAAATTAATTAGAGAATTATCAAGAATTTAATATTAACAGTAAATTCCAATATTTTTTTTATTAATATTAAAATTTCTCATTAATTAATTGCAAAAAATTCAATATTTATGATTATTAATAATTTCTGTCAATTCAAGGATAGACTTAATTGTTATTTTTAAACAACAATTTGCATAACAATAGATTTGGAAACAAAATAAACTACAATTTGAAGTCAATCACTGACTGCAAAAACATATTATAGTTGATGTGATAAATGTTTTTAATTAATAACAAATAAAATATCAAATAATTACACAATGATTATTGATTATTGAAAAACAATTGTTATATTCTTTAACAACTATTAAAGTTTATGTATTTAATTATAATTCATATAGTTTTAAAGTCATCAATCAATTAGTAAAACAGCAAATAAAGTTTATTTCTAGAATTAATATTTTCTCATAAAAATAATACTGTTTTATTACAAAAATAATTGCTTTTCAATTCAGATCAGATAATCACGTCATTTATATTTTCAATCAAAAATAATGATATCCTAAAACGTTGGCTAAAAACATGACTAAAAACGATAAATCGTTTGTTAAAAAAGACTTAGATCTATACACAGTGTATATATCGAGCCCTTAAATAGGCGTATAATTGCCGACCGGTTTGTGAAATACATCGCCAGTCATGACCCGCCGGAGCACCTCTTTAGACATAAGTCTGCGCTCTTTTTTGGCGTTTTTGATGATACCGTGATTTTCAATGGCCCGACGCGACAGATAGGGTATCACTTCTTCTACGGGTCCGTACGGAACGTATTTATATACAGAATAACCCGATTGTCCTGAATATGCAAACAATTATGATTACCAATAATTAAGAAATATATTGTATTCAACAAATACCTAAAGAAAAGCTGATTTGATCACACATTCCGTATAACTGTCCAAAACATATCACTTTATGGCCGCGTCTTATTCCCAGCTCTTTCATTCTGAATTCAATTCAAACATTTAATTAATCATTT